ATAAAATAAATTATAACCGAATAGATATTTAAGTATCGTCTGTACTTAACGTTATATATATATATATATATATATATATATATATGAATACAAGGGTGGTATAAATGGAATAAATTTTCGCTAATCAAAAACACTATTTTTAAAAAGGTGGTCAATAGAGAGTAAGTAGAGTGAATAAAGTCCTGAAGACGAAACGCATCGCATGTAAACACTTTCCACTTTGTCATACAGTTTCCCCAATATATATATATATATATATATATATATATATATATATATATATATATATATATATATATATATATTATCTGCACGGATTTTTCTTATTGGGAATATTGGTATTGTTTTGAAGCCTAAACAAAAAATCCAATATGAATGCAATTATTGCTCCTCCTACGCAAGAAAATATACAAAGATAAAACCAAAATATTCTGTCAATGAAAATTAAAACCCTCCACTGCGACCCTGACAAGGTATTTGGACGACTGTCGCAAAACTAAACAATGACGAATAGAATGTCTGGTGTGATAAAAATTAGCTTTAATTCAGGTGCTGTAAGAAATACATCGAAAATAAAATTTCTTGATCTATGTTACGCATGGAATTGCGTCGCCCCTGGCCAGTCAAAGTATCCACGCCAACCAATGTCAATCGCCGAAAGCGTTTTCAATCGACACTCGAAAATCAGCTTGAACCTTGTATAAATAGAAGAAAAAAGGTCGTAAACTTTGATGAGACTCGCTTTCTTCCTAATAAAATGGACTTCAGTATGCGTTATTACCAAAATTAAATTCGGGAAAACAAGAGGTGGTGTATATTAATTTTGTTTAGAAACACTGTCTCTTATGATTTATGTGAAAGGTACTTTATCACAAACCACCCGTCTCATCAACTTGGAACAATATATACATGCTGTCATGGCGACAATCCTGTATGGTCTGTCAGCAGAATAATGTGAACTGGCACACAGCAGTACTTCAAGGAGAATGGTTTCAAAACTTGCAGATAAAGTCATTGTGTTGCTCTGGCAAATAAATTTCCAAGATCATAGTCTCAAGGAATATTCATGCGATATGTTAGCCAAAGATGTTTACTTTAAACAACTTCTTGTCCGTAATCTCTAGAACATCTAAAAGGAATTTTGTAAAAGTCGTGCCTGATTATTTAAGTTTTGCTTTACGGAAAAAAAATGGAGGAACATCATGTAAAGAAGTTTTTTCAGCGATTTTTAACGTATGAAGCAGGAAGAGAAAATTACAAGGATATGGCCGATAGAAAAGGAATTGTGTTAGATTAAAGAGCTTAAGATTGTTGTGAAGCACCCACGTAGGCGTCTGTTTCATAAAGTATCAGTTCTTGTGAAGAAGGCAGTGAAGTGGGACGTCCTTCTTATCAAAAGACTACATAAGAAATGAAGGCGATTCAAGCATATATATGTAGCAAGGTGAGCCTTGGCTTTAAAAATTTGAGCATGAATCCTCTAAATCAGGGCTTCCCAAATTTTTTACTTCATGGCCAAATTTGAAGCCAGAATTTTTCTGTTGCCCATGAAATTATTATCCTATAAAAATTACATCCATTTCACATAGAATATATCAATTTGTTAAATTTCTGGGGCCCACCTGACATTTGACATTGCCAATTATGGCCATACTTTAGGAAACTCTGTTCTAAATTTTAAATTTTATATATATATATATATATATATATATATATAATGGACTCTCCCGTCAGTTTCGACGTATGAGGATCTGACAGCTTATTGATTCAGTTATGAAATTTTGTGCGATAATCTTAAGTGGCATTTAAGACACGCTAGTGATTTACAAAGGAGGCCACATATGGAGCAAGTGTGAAGATTGTGAGATGAGATCACTGTTAGATTAGCTGACCTTTTAGATCTTACTCTCGCTTCTTGAAGATGATTCAGACAAGCGGATTGAAAATTGCTGAGTCCACTAAAACACGTTGATCTCCATTTTTTAAGCAACAACAACAACAATAATATATATATATATATATATATATATATATATATATATATATATATATATATATATATAAGGAAAAGGTTATAGTTGTTCGAATGAGACCAAAATGTATATCTTTAAAAAAGACAGAAACCGCAAACATTTTTGGTTCTAATGCGGATTTATTTTAGTATATATATTATAATTTATTCTTCTGATTTCTGATAAACGTGTTTCCGGTCTCGTGACCTTCTTCAAGTAAATTAAAGGAATTAATTTTTAAAGGAATAAATTTTCCTTATGTTCTAAAGTCATAAAAAAATGAGATCAAGACTTACTACAAATACAGAAAATGAAGAATGTATTATTAAAAGAACATAAAGAAATTTTATTACTTTAAAAATTATTCCGTTAATTTGCGTGAAGAAGGTCACAAAACCAGAAACATGTGAAGCAAAAATATGAAGAATAAAATCTAATATATGCACGAAAACAAATCCACATTATAGCCAAGAACGTTTGCGGTTTCCCTCTTTTTTAATTTATGTATATATATATATATATATATATATATATATAATATGAACTGGGTTTATATAATAGTACTTCAAGGAGAATGGTTTCAAAACTTGCAGATAAAGTCATTGTGTTGCTCTGGAAAATAAATTTCCAAGATCATAGTCTCAAGGAATATTCATGCGATATGTTGGCCAACTTCTTGCCCGTAATCTCTAGAACATCTAAAACATCTAAAAGGAATTTTCTAAAAGTCGTGCCTGATTATTTAAGTTTTGCTTTTACGGGAAAAAAAATGTGTGAAAAGTGTATATAAATATAAATAAATATATGTATAATAATATGTATGTATATAAATAATATATATATATATATATATATATATATATATATATATATAAATGCATTAAATTATCAGCACTTTTGCCATAACATATGCCTTCTGTTAATGCGTGCTCATAGTTGGTACAATTGTGTTCCCGAAATCGAAGTTTGAACTTGATCGTCCCAGTTTTCTTGCTACTGTTACAGTGTAAACATGGCCGCTCCACTAAGCAGTGTACACCGAGTAGGAACAAGGAGGTGACTATCACACGAAAGCTTTTCATAATTTGCCATACATTTTTCTCCAATATATACATATATATATTGGCTTATTTGGCTCCTGTTCTTAATACGACTGGTGGTAGTTTTTAGACTGAGGCTCACAAGAGTAAGCTCGTAATTAAATCTCTCGCCTTGTCGCCTCTGGCTGACTGTTCTTTGACCTCCATCTGCATGCATGTAACTGAATAAAGAGCAATGGTCTACACTATCAATTGCCTTATATATATATATATATATATAGTTACTTCC